TCACAGATCAGCTAATGCAAGCTGGAGAGATCTTTGTGTGAAATCCTAATAACAAGAGCATCTGGAATAATTGCTGGTGCAACTGCTGTGCAGTGATAAAAAAGTAGGTATAGTGAAAGAAAACTTCAAGATGTGTAGCTGTATACAGTTCACAGAGAGCTCAGGTTCTTATTCTGGTAAGTCTACAATGGTAATATGGAACGACTTGAAGTACTGCACAATAAAAGTTTAAATGCATTCAGAATTTTCCAGTCTCAAACTGTTCATTAATTAAAGCAGCCAATTTCAGACCTGAAGGGAAAATAAAAGCAGAGCCAAAACTTAGCTGGCAGTCATTTGATAGTAAAGCTTGTGGGAGCCAATTACTTACATGGTCCCTAGTGTTTGCAAATACCTTTCCTTCTAACTGAAACATTTTTTTGTTTTATTTCAAGCCAAAACGCATGGGTTTTTGCAGTCATTAAAAATATGTATAATGAAAGAAATGTTCAGAGTTGTGTAGCTGTATATGTAGAAAGCTCAGAGTCTTGTTTTGGTAAGGCTGCAGTGGTGTGAGTTTGCTTGGAATTATGTGCCGTGTCTTCTAGGTGATCATTAGCGCAGCCTACTTCTGGATGTAGTTTACACAGAGACAGATTAAAAATGTCTTGAGTTGATTTGAAATGGTTGAGTTTTATTTTAAGCTAATGATTTCTGGCTTTCAAGAAATTATCATCTTGGTCTTCTATATGAGAATGCTACGTCATGAATATTCAAAAAAGCAGAGAAATTCAAGGTATTTGGGAAGCTATGGAATGTTTACCAGGCAATTGTAAAGTTTTGGAAGTTGTTGTGTTCTGGTAAACCATAGCTTCATAGTAATTCTTAAACTGTCAGGCCTGTGGATTTGTTGCTTAAGGACCACATTTCTGTGTAGAAAAGAAGGGTAAGACTCTTTTGGCTGACTTGATGCTTTGTAGCATGTTGTGCATGGCTCTGTGATTAGTAGGGGGAACTACATCCACTGCATTTATGGAGCAGCAGATATTAGCAGAGACTGAGTGGAAAAGCTGAAGACAAGAGATTTTATGCCTAAGTTCAAGTAATTTGTTTAAAAGACCATTTTTTATTTTAAAAAGAGAAAAAATAATGGCAGAGTGCTTCTTGTAATGTTGTTGTATCTTTTTGCAAATCTTTTGAAAAAGAGCATTAAAGTATTTAGCAAAATTTTATTTTCCTAAATAAACACAAGGCTCAAAACCAAAATATTTGTATCCAAATTTTCAGTTATATAAGCAATGCTAAAATAAACCATTTACCCAAAACCTGTTGTCCTAAGGGCTGTATCCTGTTTCCAGGTGTAAGCCAGTTTAGTGGGATGTCAGACACAGATCTTCCATGTCTTGCCAGATCTACAACTTTGCTCTTCCTTTGTGGATTATGAGAGGTGCCTTAGTATTTGATGTTGGAAAACTTGATCTGTGAGCTCTGCATTTTGATTCATGTTAAACTTTGTCTTATTCATCAGCCAGTGGTGGTTCTCCCCTCTGTCTAGAACACCTTCTGGCCTTGTGGATTTGGATGACTAATGATCTTCTTTAGGGGTTTGTATGTCTTGGTTCATTTCCTCTTCTGAATTCAGATGAAACAGTGAAGCATCTCTGAGGACAGAGAGAGGGTGGTTGCCTTGTGTCTCTCCTGAGCCCCTCTTACAAACAGAGTCAATGCACTTGCCCTCCTCTCTTGGGGTAAGTTGCCTCATCCTGAAGGATTGGTTCCATTTGCCAGGAAAGCTGTTTAATGATTTTAAGCAGAATAGTAGTTTTTCTTTATGTTTAAAAGCATAAAAAGATTTTGTGTAGAACTTTATGTAACAATAAACCTTCACCAGGGCTGTGATGCTTTCCCTCTGTCCCTCCTAAGTGAACAGAACTCTGCTCCAGTTTGATTTTTTGTATCTCTATAGCTCATCAATTTTGCTGCTATTGAAGTGCTTAAAGTAGTTTTTAAAGTGCCAAACTATTATTTTTGAGTAGGAAGAATTTAGGAAAGCTGACAAAAAAAACCAACTGATTTCTGATTGGGTATTTTCTAGTATTTAAAGTATACCTGTTAAATCTCCTTATCTGTGGAGGCTTTCTTTTGCAAAAGCATAAGAATCTCCTTGAACTAATAATTGGTTGAGTTTTATTTTAAGCTAATGATTTCTGGCTTTCAAGAAATTATCATCTTGGTCTTCTATATGAGAAAGCTACGTCATGAATATTGTAGGATATATTTAATAAATTTAAATGGAACAGAAACTATCTGGCAAGACTTATACTTCAAAGGAACCTACAGTTCATCAGGAATACTTTAACTGATTGTAAATGTGTCCCTTTCTTATGCATGTAAAAGGTTTAAAGTATTCTGTGAGCACTGAGGTCTTTTATCCCTTCAGTTGCTTATGGAATACTAATGAAAGTAATGTATGTGCATCATGTGGAAAATATGTTGGCAGACAGAGATACCTGCAGTGCCTTAAATGCTTTGGCATTGTCTCTGTTTAATCAGCATAGTCGATCCCTGCTTCCCTTAGGGGTTTATACTTTCAGAAAAAGATCAAAGGTTTATATGAAGGCTTAAGCAAAAGTAAAATTCACCTATTTTAGAGATGAATGAATAGATAAACAGAAGCTTAAAAATGAAACTTTAGGCATCCCAGTCTCTAATATAAAATGTCTTGTAGGAGCAATAATTATGGTAGTCATATATATTTAAAAAAATCAGACATCTGAGATGTTAAGAGAATAATTTCCTGGAATTAAGTACTTATCTGATTAAACTTTTGTGGTTTGTTTTCATGATGCTTTCTAAAAGAGTAGTTGTTTTATAGTGTGTCTGTGTGCTTTGCTAAATTAATAAACTGACTTGCCATTGAAAATGCTCTTTGAGGAATGCAAAAGACAACCCAAACCCAGCTCTTACATTAAAGTAACAGCTAAAATATTCATTTTTGGGTGTTCTGTCTGCCTTTCTGTGGCACTGATTCCTTGTGTTACCATTTACATCTGCTTAAAACGCTGTAGAGCAAGATGAGTGTTTCATTGAAGGCTAATTCTGGGAAGTGTTTAGTGGAATAGAGGAAAAAAGTCTTGAAATAGCAACAGTTAAATTTAAATTATGATGCAGATATGGTATCCTAATGCTAAATGGGAAATACGTAAGTGGAGTGGTTTTAGTAAAACTGCAAGGAAACAGGAGTACAAAGCAATTACATAAAATAAGATTATGACTAGGTGTAAAAAAAATCTATCAGCCATGTTTTCTGAATGCCCTTCATGCATTTTTATTAGAAACTAATTTTGATGTGTTAGTATTTTATCTCTACTGTATGGTACAACAATGGTTATTTGGTTCAGAAAATTTCACACTATTTATCAATTGCTGTGTTCTTTGCAGCTGATACCATACTTAGTGTTTAGTTGTCAGCTGCTGCTGAAATAGCAAAAATGGACTCTGCATTTGAAGCTGGAGCATCATCAGCAGATGCATTTGGGTTCCGTTTGCTGACACATGTGTGTAATGTCTTAGCTGAAATTTGCAGTGAACAATATATTTAATTTTCCCTGTAATTGAGCTTAGAGGGTACAGAGTGAGTTGTACAATTTCTAAGAAAACTCTGAGCTTCAATTCTGTTCTCTGTTTGCATGGACTGCCTTGCCTACGTCAGCCCAGTGCTTCTGAGTGTTTGAGTTAGTGAAACAGTAGATAGGACAAAACTGTGTCCATCTACTAGATGTGGTGGAGAATTTTCCACAGGATGAACTTCACAAATTGCTATTAAAAATTATTCCTGCACCTAAGGAAATATAGAATAGAACATAAATTAAGATACTATAAATTAATGTACTGTAATATAAATTAATATAATATTTACCTAAGTAAATAGTGCTGTCTGTTCATTACTAGTTGTCCTCCAGTTTTAATTTGGTAGAATTTGTAAATGCCAGAAAGTTGTGCACTCATTAAAACAGTAACCATTTTTTTAAGCTAACAGAACAGTTTATTTACTTTCAACGTTTCAGTTGAAAGTAAATATAGAAATTGAAGCATTTAGATTAAATTTAATTGCTTTGGCAACTTCTAAAATAAAATAGGGATATTTGGGTTTTCTGCCTTGAATATAATTTGATTATATTTGTAAAGTCTGCAACACCTAAGTGCAGTTTGGAATAAGAGACTCTGACTACTGAGTTCGTAGTTTTCCAAGAAATGTACCAGAATTGTGACTTCATAGAAATAAGTTTTTCTCAGTTATTTTCTCACTTTTTTATATTTCACAATGGAATTAAGAGTGCATGTTGCAACTGGAATTTAAAATATTTCAATTTACTGTGGCTTTTCACCAGTCAGTTCAGTTAAATGTGTATCAAAATTGTATTTGAAACTGTTATTTACCTTTATTGTAATAAACTTCATGTTTGTTTTAGACAAAATACGAAACAATACCAAATATTTTTTGTGTTCTGAATTTCCTGCATGTGTGTGGGTAGAAGTGTTAGTTATGCTACACAAGACTGCTGTTTTTACTACAAAACCAAGTCACTATATAGGCAAATCCTAAGGTGCAGTATAGTTCCAGAGTCTCTTGCACAGACTTGCAGGATTGTGTTACATCAGTCACTAAATGTCACAAGTTTCAGGTGAAATGACTGTTCTTCCAAAATGTGAATTAAGGAGCCCTTCCCCCTCACTTTTGCGGTTGGTAGATACTGGTGTTAGTATAGGAAGCTGTGCATTCCAGGGAGTAAAATTCAGCCTGAACTACAAAGAGACCTGATGTCTGCTTGTCACAGCATGTTTTTGAAGTCTTTTGTGTAATAGTGACTGGTTTAAAAGCATATTTTGCTGATTAAAAAAATACAGTAGGTCATAAAACAGGAAAGGCGGGCTTGTTCCTAAGGTGTGTGAGAACATTCAGTCTTATGAATGTTGATGCTAGACCAAGAAAATATTGATTAATTTAAAATTTGATTTAGTTCTCCTGAAAAAGGTATGGATAAGAACACAGATGAAGAGCAGCCTTCAACTGCCTGTAGCCAGTACCCCAAGGAAGCAGTGAAGAAACGTCAGAATTCGGGTCGAGGTTCCGGGGGCAATGATTCTTCCAGGACCTTCAGAAAAAGCTTCAGGCTGGACTACAGATTAGAAGAGGATGTAACTAAATCAAAGAGGGGCAAAGATGGGAGATTTGTCAACCCATGGCCAACATGGAAATCACCAACCTTACCCAACATTCTGAAATGGTCCTTCATGGAAAAAAATAACAGCAATGTGCCACGCTCCAAGCAGGTGAATACTTCCATGTTTTACTTTTGTGATTAAGACTGCTTTTACCTCTGCTCTAATCAACAAAATAGGACAGTTTCTAACTAATACTCATTAGGCATCTTCTGGAGACTTTTCTAAGTCTTACTTTTCTGATTTTATTGACATTTTATTGTTTTCAAAAGGTAGGTTAATACTTTCTACCTCTTTAATTTTTATCTCCTTGTTAGTTCCACATGCTTTAATTTATAAGATCAGTTTATATTTATAAAAACAAAAAAAAATTGGCCCCCTAGCTCAGTCATAAACCCATTACAGCCCTTCCTTTTTAATAGGTGTTGCCTTATGAAGCATACTATTAACTTAATTTGTGTTGCATGAAATAGCTTATTTCATGACATATCCAATTTTTAAAATTTTCCCTTTTTTTCCTGATGGCAATTTAATACATATGTTGCATCTCTTGCATGAAGATGTAATAGTTTCTGTCACCTACTTATGAAAATACTTACAAATCTGTTTTTTTATGTTTCAGTACACCAGGAGAAAAAATTGCATATGTTAAAACTAACCTGAGCAAGTATTTGTACTGAAACACTTAAAGTACAGTGCCAGTTTACAGGGTAACATTGTTACTTGGTGAAATGCTTTTGTCAGATACTGTATGTAAAGAAGGAGACAGGAGAAGCTTCTTTCCCATGAAGAGTGATGGGTACTGGAGAGCCACGAGTTCTCTTTATGGTCACAGGAGGTATGAAGATGACCAGGTTTTGACAGAATTACTTCTCAGTGCATTTCTGATGTGTTGACTGTACTTCAGTGAAGCTGTGCAGAAGGGTGCACAACTAAGGACAGTATTTTTTAACAAGCAGGTGTTAATAATGCTTTTAAGCATGCAGGAAGGTATGCACAAGCTATAAATCTCACAGCCAGTATTTAGTAAAGAGCTTTCCATTTTGTCTTACCTGAACTACCTGTGAAGGAAGGAATTCTATCAGTTTTATGGACATGAAAGCCACGTTAGGCATTAACACATGATGGTCAGAGGTTTAGGGATGTTTAAGGAAAAAACAAATTTGCTGTAATATAATAATAATAATAAATAATTTGTCTTAGAAAGAAGAACAGCAAACTTATGTCAGTCTTGGGATCCCATCCAGCAAATTTGGTGTCTTCCTTGTGGTGACAATGTTTGCTTCAGTGTGTACAGTTTTCTAGACAGTGTGGTGGCCACATTTTCATGAAATGCACACCTATATGTTTTCAGTTGCCTTTGACTGCTGCTCTCCTTGGTATGTGTAGAACAGGCTTCATGAATTCCCAGTGCCAGTCAGAAACCTGGGTAGTGGCTGAAGTCCCTCAAAGGCAGTGCTGAGGTGTACTGTGGAGTGCAGAGCATACAACACTCTGATGGAGTGCAGAGCTACAGCACTCCCCTTTAATTTACAGTTTGTCCCTACAATAAAGGATGATCACACAGAAATCTACAGGGCACCAGTTGAAAAGCCATCTCTCTGACCCAGCTGGGATTAGTCATGGGCTAATTTTGTTTTTTGCATAGGAGATCTTTTAATTAGGCACCTGCAATTATTCACGAGTTTCATGAAGTAAATCAGAAAAACCTAGATAGGGATCAATGAAATGCACTTCTGGAGTCCTCAGCCAGTTTGATGCTTGTTTCAACCACTTTTCTTCCACCCCTACATCAGCCTGTGAAGTGCATCTGAGCTTGTTTAAAATTCAGACTATGGGCTCCACACTTTATTTATTGCTGCTAGATGTCACGTCCTCTGAGCCAGATTTCTGCTTCAGTTTCCACATTGAGTGAGCCTAGTGATGTCCTGCTATGCTAGGTAGGTTCAGTTTATCTGTACCAAGTGCTTTGTGTATGTAAAAATGAGCATATTATCCAGGATATGTGCTTGTGCTTCACTGTGGAAAAGTTAGATGTATTATAATCATGCCTTCACAATGAGCCTATATCATCATCCAGAATGCATTCTTGTATTTTCATTACAGGCTTTATTATTAACTTTGTTCAGTGCTGTTGGAGGATCTTTAATTATTAGTTGCTGGATCAGCAGTTTAGATTGTTCTCATTTCTGTAAATCCTGTGGTATTCCAGTATGCACTAAGCACCAAAAATCCCAAGCTAATCAGCTAGTCTTACCAAAGCCTGTCATGTGTTTTTTCTTGCTTTGCATTAGGAGGGCAAGAAGAATGGGGAGGGGGAAGGGACACAGCAGGGGGAATTTTTTGTATTTCTTGAGTAATGAAGACAAGACAGTATTAAGCACATTTTACTTCTGTTGGTAGCTGATTCAACAGAATTGCTGTATTTCAAAAATCTGTTATAATTCTTCTCGTTTTAATATGTTTCTGGTTAGTCTGACAGAACAAAATGTATTATAGCAGGATAAAAGTTCCATAAGATACATATTTAATTCATTATGTTGCTTTATCCTGTTGTGTGAGTTTTAAGTATTTCATGTGAAGTATACTGCTGATAGAATTTGTGTTTAGTTTGAAACCTTATGAGTTGGGTATTTCTGATTGCTGCTTTAAGGGGATTTTGGTGTGCTTTTGTAAAATAAAAAAAAAAAACAAAAACAAAACTAAACAACCCCAAACACAAATCATGTGCACTGAGAAGTAATGTTCTGGTGTGATTTACCATGATAGCTCAACAACATGCTTGGTTGCTGATCTGATCCTCTGAGGAATCATTGCTTTGGGTCAGGGGCTGTGTATCACAAACCTGGCGAGCACAAGCTCTGTACAAATTACACTGTCTTTGTGCTCTTGATTTTTTTTTTAACCTTTGTTCACAGAATTTCATTGAAATAGGTCGGGATAGCAGTTCTTTGGATTTTGCTCTTCTCTGTCAATCTTCCTGTCTCTGTGACTTTTATAAATGCCTTTTAATTCATAAATATCTACCTTTAAATCAACTATTCTAAATACTTGATAGCATCAATCCCACTGACATCCCTGTAAAGCCTTTATTAATAGTGCAGATGTGTTGTGGCTTTAGGCAGCCAAGTCCCAGTCAGCTCCTTGCTTCCACCCTCCACTGCTGGCACCCCAGTGGATTGAGAGGGGAAAAATCAGGTAACTTGTGGATTGAGATGAAGACAGTTCAATAGGTAAAGCAAAAACTGCCTGCACAAGCCAACTAAGAAATGTATTCTCTTTGCATGGGCAGGCAGGTGTTCAGCCATCCCCAGGAAAGCAGGGCTGCATCCCATGTCCCAGTTACTTGGGAAGATAAACACCACCCACTCTGAATGTCCCCCACCTCCTCCTCTTTTCCCAGATATTGCTGCTGGGTGCAGTGTTGCATGATATGGGATCTCTCTCTGATGGATTGGGGTCAGCTGTCCCAACTCTGTCCCTCCCAGCTTCTTGTGTGCCCCAGTCAGCTGGCTGAGATGCTGTGTAAGCACTGCTCAGCAGCAGCTAAAACATCAGTCTGCCATCAGCACTATTTTCAGCACAAATCCAAAACATAGCACTGTAGGTGCTACTGGGCAGAAAATTAACTGTACCCCAGATAAAACTTTGTAAAATATGTCTGAGTCCCACTTAAGAACTAATTTTTCACATCTGCCAATTGGCCAGTTCCTCATCCATTTAATATTGTTTATTAATATTGCATAATGCTAATTAAAAAAACTAATTTGTGCCAAATGTCAGCAAAAATAAGTGAATTAATCTACTTCTGAGAAAATTTGGACACCGACTCTAAAACCAGCTACTTAAAAAGAATATTTTCCATAAAAAATGTACGAACTGACCTAAATTGCATTATGACAATTCAATTCTTTAAGTTCCCTATCTGAGTTTTATTTCTTTGATATAATCTGATTTGTTGACTTAACCATAGGTAATTTGTTGGTTTATCCTAATTTCTATTTTTGAGTACTATGTTAGTTTTGTGTATCTGTTTTTTTGGTTTTTTTTAAAATTGAAACATCATAGTATAATGCTGCTGTGGTTCAGATTTTTGTGGCCAGTGTTCTTCCATGTACTTAGAATGAAATAGATATAAGAAAATGATGGCTTCTTTCTTGGTGAAGCAGCAATTTATCTCAGTCTAAGATTCCTACTTTTCTTGTATGAACTAAGGGGTTGAATTGTACTAACCTTATATTCAGCTTTATAGAAGGTTATCTATTTCTCATTCCTGGAGACAGTAATGAAACTTCTTCAGTAAACATGTCTTGTCCATTAGCTCTCAGAAAAAGCAATTTCATGAATATTTTATTATTTACAGCAGAATTGCAGGGGGATGGAGATGTGCATACTTTGTTTTTCCCAACATATGCCTTCCAAATCAATAAAATATTGTGGAGAAAGTAACTTCCCTGAAGCTGTCAGGACTGGTTTAGCAAGGCAACTTCTGGAGTCCTAAACTGTCATAGCATCAGCTGGACTTCTAAAGGAGCATGTGGTCAGCTCTGTATAAACCCACTGATAGTGCTAATCTGTGCTAGGCTGAGAGAATGGGAGCAGCAACCATGGCAGCAGAGCTTGACTTGGAACCAGAAGTGCTGGGAAGTTTATGATTGTGAGGAAGAGGAGTGTCAGGAGTCTAGAAGCTGCCCTAGCACATGAAAATTCTTCTAAAGCAAAGTGAGGAGTTCAGACTATAAGTGTTTGGGAGGAGAGCCTTAGCCACATTGGGGCTAACCTGGAGATGGTCAGGAATTCTGAGAAGACTTTTTCGTTGGTTGGTTTTTTAATAGGAAAGCTCTTATTTATTGCATATAAAGCTTCTGCATTAGCACTTCAACCAAACTGCAATGAAGAGCATAACTCTGGTTCAGAATGAGAGAATGAGTGACTGTTGGGCAGGGAGTTTCAATAGGTAATGTACAGCCATGGCCTCCTTTGTGCCAACTTGAGGATACACAGAGAGTCAAATTGGAGCCAGTCAAAATGAGAGCTGTGTATTTTTTACCTGTGGATTAAAGTTCAGCCAGATCAGTTTTCTGACCTGTCATACTCAAGTAGGGACTGCAAAACTTGACAAGCTGGAATAAGAGATGAGGTGGAGGAACCTTTTCGTAACCAAGCATATCGAAGTACCTTAAGGTTTATCTTAAAAATTATTTTGTTTTTTATGAATGTTCATTAAATTCTTGGCAGGATGGGAAGGCAGAATTGTAATAGCTAACATTAGCCAAGTGAGGTTAACCTTTGTGTTAATGGGGAACACAAAGTGAGGACAGAGAGCCTGATAAAAGCTAGCAGAGCTTTTGTGGAGTGTGGCTGGGGAACATGGCATTTTCTTTCTTCTGTGACTTACTTGTGCTAGGACTTAAGAGGATGCATCATTGAGTTGCATAAACTAAACTTGGGTATTTGTTAAGTAGCACTCTGTGTGTGTGTATACATATTCTTTTTCAGGTGGAGGAATCCCTTTCTGGGATGCTGTTAGTGCCTTGCAGTGCTTTTATTGCAATGCTCCCAGACTCTATCAAGTCTCCTGGCCTGATGGGATACTCTCTTTCTCAAGAGAGAAGTGTAAATGTTGCAAAAAGCTAAAATTAAATTGGGAGGAAGTAGCTGAGAAAATGGACATTAAAAAGGCATCTGGTGTGTGCTGCAGTTCTCTGCATAAAAGCATAAACAAAGTACAAGTCTATAGATTTGTGCCTTGTATGCAGTTTTTGTTCCATGGCCAAGTACATTCTGAAATCTCTCATGCATATTGTGTTCTTTTTTGCTAGGAACTCGACAAAGAACTCCCAGTGTTACAGCCTTACTTTGTTCAGACACCAGAAGATGCTGGGAAGACAGGAGCCGGTATGCGAGTCACGTGGCTGGGACACGCCACAGTCATGGTGGAAATGGATGAACTTGTGTTTCTGACTGACCCCATCTTCAGCCAGAGAGCTTCCCCTATCCAGCTGCTGGGTCCCAAGCGCTTCCGAGGGCCGCCGTGCACGGTGGCGCAGCTGCCCAGGATAGACGCGGTGCTGATCAGCCACACCCACTACGATCACCTGGATTACAACAGCGTGGCCAGCCTGAACCAGCGCTTCGGGAGCGAGCTGCGCTGGTTTGTGCCCCTGGGGCTCCTGCAGTGGATGCAGAGATGCGGCTGTGAGAACGTGATCGAACTGGATTGGTGGGAGGAGAACTGTGTGCCTGGTCACGATGCGGTGACTTTTGTCTTCACCCCTTCCCAACATTGGTGCAAAAGGACTGTGACAGATGATAACAAGGTTCTCTGGGGCAGCTGGTCTGTCTTGGGACCTTGGAATAGGTTTTTCTTTGCAGGAGATACTGGATATTGTTTGGCTTTTGAGCAAATAGGTAAAAGGTTTGGACCTTTTGATCTTGCAGCCATCCCCATTGGAGCTTATGAACCAAGGTAGGAAAATCTGAATTTGAGCAATATATGTACATGAAGTTATTTACTGATAACAAAACATGCACCCAGAAGTACTTTATTAAAATGTATGTGTATGTGTGATGTTTTTGGAGAGTTTTTTCTTCAGACTTAAGGACAGCAAGGATGAATCAGCAGTCTTTCGTCCCTTAAAAATGTTGAGTAAAAATCTGGAATTACTCTGTGCCTTTTTTTCCTGAAACACCATCATTTAATCCAGCCCATTCCAGTGTATGTCATTTACTGCATTTTTCTCTTGCTTCAGTGTTTACCCTGGTTTTGCAACTTATCTGGAGACAAGGATGACTTGCTTATAGAGTATGAAAAATCTGTTTGCTCAGGAGAGATAAGTTTCTCCTTTTGGGGAAAACATTTAGGTGATCATACTCGTATAATGCTGGAAGGAAAGCACGTATAGGTTGAGAAAAAAAGATGGAAATCCAAATAGCACGGTAAAATTCTGTATATCTCAGAAATTGCCAGGTTCTCTCTTCTGTTTGCCTGTTCCCTTGGGCTATCTCTGAAGCACACACTTTTTGGTGTGTACTGCTAGCACCAAATTTTTTCAGGAATGGCTTTAAAGTTTTGGCCCTAATGCCTCAAGGCACCAGTAATATGTCCTTAATCTATTGAAAATAGAGATAAGACAAAATCCTCCAAAAAGAGAGTACAATAAATGAACTGCTGTTTGATGACTGTGTTGGTATGTGTTAGTCTCCTGATCTTGAGTGTTCCGTATGTTGTCCAGGTGTACGTGCTTATGATTTTTTTGATTAGGTGAGCACATATTTCTTTTTGTACTTTGCAATGGCAGTAAAGGAGAAATCTTGCACTGGATTAGGTGATGCAAAAAAGAGCTTCTTTGTTTTGGCAGGTGGTTTATGAAATACCAGCATGTGGATCCTGAAGAAGCTGTAAGAATCCATATTGATGTTCAAGCAAAGAAGTCTGTAGCAATTCATTGGGGGACCTTTGCTTTAGCAAATGAGGTAAATTGCAACACTAAACATGAGTTCAGATTTCCAAGGATTAGATAGGCATTAGTGAAGCTTTTGCAGTTTAACCTAGGTATCTGTAAATGAAAACTTAAAATGTGAACTTTGTATGTGTGAAAATTGTTACTCTATATACTGCTGTTCAAAACAATGCTTAGTTTTTCATAACCAACGACATAAAATATCTCCATGGTTAAGAAACTACAGAGTTATTGTAGCAAATGTGGAGGATGTCTGATATCCAGATGCTGAGGAATATAACAGCTGAGGACACATGCAGTGTTATGCATTACGTTATGCAGTAATAAAAACAAACTGAGTGGTGCATCACTTGGAGATAGTAAAAACTGCATGCCTCTAGGGCAGTACAGTATTTATTAATTATGACTGTCTAGTAAATATATAAACAGTATTTTGAATAGCTGATTCAAAGTTAAAAACAAAAAGGATATGGAAAAAGCGAGTTATTCTGAGTTTAGGGTGTTTTTTAATGTTTTATTCCCCTCTACACCCCACCCTCCCCCAAGTCCACAGATGTAATAAGAAGGTTAGCCAGACACTTTCACAGCAACTGAAAGTGCAATGAATAGGAAGCATCTACATTTGTTTTGATACTGTCTGGTAGCTGTTTTTCAACTTAGTTTTTGCATCAGTTACACCCCTTTATCTCCTAATTCATTCCTGATAGTGCGATCACCTTGTCTGCCACATGTTTCCCGTCTGTGCCCCCTCCCCGCTGCTCGTGCACCTCCGTGGCACAGCACGGAGGGAACACAGGACGCGTGGATGGAACATTTCCTGTCCGCAGTGTTTCCAGTAAATTGTGTTGCTAGTGCCCGCGGTACGAAAGTTACTGTGTATTTAGGAGCCAAAAATAGATGTTTGATCCCTGACGGTGCCTTTCGGAAATGTAACAAAGACACCGCGGTGACCCGAGAGCGGCCGCGGTGACAGCGCTTCCTCCCGTCCGCAGTGTTTCCAGTAAATTGTGTTGCTAGTGCCCGCGGTACGAAAGTTACTGTGTATTTAGGAGCCAAAAATAGATGTTTGATCCCTGACGGTGAACTTTCGGAAATGTAACAAAGACGCCGCGGTGACAGCGCTTCCTCCCAAGGGATCTGTGCCTGCCTTAAGGCCACCGAGGTGGGGCTGACAAGTTGAGCCTTGCTAGTTACTCTGCAGCTGTAAATCAGGGTTCTTGTCGTTCAAAAGTCTAAAATGAACCCAAACATTTAAATTTGGCAAATATCCTTCTCCTCCCCCCGCTTTTTAGAATTTTTTTTCTCCCTCAAAAAATGGTGCTGTGGTATCTTTTCCCTCATATTATTCTCATTTTTTTTCAGTATTATTTGGATCCTCCAGTTAAATTGAATGAAGCTCTTGAAAGATATGGCTTGAAAAAAGATGACTTCTTTCTCTTACACCACGGAGAATCACGGAATTTGAATACAAATGAAAACTGAAACAGTGTCAGTTCCTTGTAAGCCCTGTTTGATTTGAACTAGCAATTAACGTTACAATACTAACATAATGTACACAATAGATTTTTGAGATTGAATTTGACTTCTAAATGCCAGGTTTGTCAGTTTCAGAACTACAGCTTGCATACCAATTTAATGACAAATTTTACTGCTTATATTGTTTATAAATTTAGAGAGGTGATCTAAAAGTGGTTTATATATTAAGTGTTGTCTGGGAATAACTTGGTGGATGTTCACCACTGATTAAAAAAAAAAAATTAAACTCTTCATCTTACCTGCAGCAGCAATAACAACTTCAGCACAGAACATATTCTTAGGATTAATGGCTGACTTGAATTATTCATTGTTAGACTGTCATCTCCCACTTGTTAGTCTTCAGGTTATGCCCTGTACCTTGCTGTACACGCTTCATACAGCTTCACTGTATGTTTTGTGGGGTGAAGTCTTCCAATACAGCTGTGTTGTTTAAGCACAAGCATGGTAAAATTGTTTCACTCTTCATTTTCGTGTATTAATGAACCACAAGAGCTGAATTTTACATCAAAATGTGCCTTTTAAAGAAAGAGATAATGTAATATTGCATCATGGATGTGTAAAACTAACTGCTGGCCAGAATATCTGCACACTTTTATTGTTTTGTCTATATTTTTAAGTTAGGTCTGAATGTGTCAATTGCAGCACATGAAGTGGAAAAACCTCTTTAATGTTGCTTGTCCTTGCATTAACTCAGCCTTTTTCTAAATACTTTCCCCGCCCCCCACCCCCCTCCCCAGTAGAAAGTCTTAAGCAAGGGCTGTGGTATTTTTCTAATAGCTTCCCTATGATTTTAAAGTTGAATGAGAGTACAGCATTGTTCAGTGTTATAAAACTTGGCCAAATGTGTCTGTAACAAATTGTCTTGCTAATTTACAGAATTAAAGCCTGTTGTTGCCAATAAAAAGGGTTGTTATTCTCCTTCATAATTTCATTAGCAAATCATGTTTTGTTTATAATTTCTTTTGGTCTGTGGGATATGTGGGTTGGTTTGGGTTTGTTTTTTTTTTTTTTTTGCTCTTGCTGTACATTTTATTTTCATATCCCACAAAGATAAATATATATAAAAAAGATATTATTTAAAGGCATGAACTTCTGGCAACTAATTAAAACCAGTTAATGAGATTTCACGGTAGGAAGAACTGAGGTAATCTTTTAACTAGAGACAGTTATCAAAACTGGTTTCAAATGACCCCGTTATTCAGTGTTGGAGGTGTTTCAGATGAAGTCTCTTGTATTTACACAACAGCTTCAATCACAACTTGGGTGATACAATGTATATTACCTGTTTGTAATTTTGTGGAGGACACCAAGCTGCAAGAAGTTTTGAGTACTTTGAAGGGCAAGTTTAAGGTTGGTTTTGTTGTGGGTTGTTTTCTTTTCCTGATCATCAGTAGGTTATTCTGTAAAATTACGTACTTCAGAAAGAGTGAAACTAAAACACAGAACACCTAGCTAAGCAGCCACAGAGCAGAGATGTACTGAGTTACATGGATCAGAAATTAAATGTCAGTAATGACATGTTTTGTTTTGGATCTGTTATCTCACAACATATGTACCTAGAATGGTGACTGTTACGTTTTGCTTGGTGCTGATAAGATTCCACCAAACGTGTGAGGTAGGTGATAAAAAATAAGACATCTTCGCATAAAGGCACATTGGAAAGTCTTGCATGATTTCAGACATCTCAACAGCATTGTTTTATGAAGAAAGCATTTAAAAATAATTCTTTCTAGACCAGAAAAATAAAACTGTAGACAACATTGTAGCAAGTTCTCATGTATTTTTAGAAAAGGTCACTTGTTTGTGTCAGCCGTTAAAGCAATGGATAAGAGATCAACTCTATCAAAAAGATGATACTGGAAAAACTAATTTTTAGGTTGGAGAACATGGAAAGAGACTTCTAGACATCTCTGTTATTAAGCTTAAGAAACCATGTATCAGCTATACCTAGAACAGACTGGTTCTAATGTCTTGTCAGGAGAGGAGAGTACATAAATTCTTAGTGTCTGGCCTGGTCTTTACTTTTCTTAGTCAAGTTCAGTAGCAGAAAACATTAAATCTACAAAAAGTTGCAAAACATTAAGTGATTGTAATGTAACTTGCTTATTACAAACTGTGCAGTGTTTTAGGAGCAGTGGGAAGGAGAAAAGGAAGTTCACTGTCAATGCAGCAATTGTCAAGTTTCTGACTGGGAATCATGCCAACTTCTATTTCTGCCTTAACTGTATTCCTGGTGAGTTAAAACTACCGACGTGGATAAATTAGATATGTGTAGCTTTACCCCTGTATTGATCAGGGCATGGGTGTCTCACAGTTTCAAGGTCATATTTTTCTTGCAGTTTTAGCTATTTGCAAAGTGACCTTCTGAAAACAAGTATCTACTGCATTACAGCATGAGAAGATGATAGTAATGTTTTCTTAAGAGCAGAGTGAGTATACTAAATTAGAAAGATGAAGCACTTGGTAACAGTTTAGGTGATACAGTTCTCTTAAAAACTGAACAAAGTGGAAAACTTTCCTAGCCTCTACATCTGACACCTTTTTAGTTTGTCTGTAGTGGAAGTTTTTTAGTAGTATTTTCCATTATGTTTTCTGTTCATCAGTGAAACTCTGTTCAGGTTCTTTTACAGTGATGTTTGTATGGATTCCACTTCATTTTGAATTAATGCTGGGTTGCTGACTAAAACTTTATGGGGGCTAATTCTGCAGAAGCACTCATTACTCTTTTTTTTTTTCTCCAACTGGAAAGTTATCCAAGGAAAGGAAGTCCAAGGACTGCTACAGAATTGGAAGCTTTTGTAAAAATGTGTATGATACTGCTCCTGTAGACTTCTTTTTAATAAGAATGAAAATGCTGAATTGCAGTTGCAGGTAATCCTTGACTCCTAATTGCAGATAATCCTTGACTCCTAATAAAATACTTTTTAAAAATGTCTTTTCCTAAAGTGACAATTTTAAAGTAATATAAAATCCTTTCAATTTTTTTTCAAGTCTAGAAACCTTTTGCAGTTGTGGTTAATGGCACTGCAGTTTGGCTAAATGGAGTGGATAAACTAAGCATACAAAAACGGAGTTTAAGAATAAATTCCATACAGGTACAATAAAAAAACCTAGGTTTGGTGACTTTAGTATGCAGCTTTCACTGAAGATACTAATTCTGTAGGAAGCCAATGATAGTTTGGTATTGCTTTTATTTAATATTATTTTGTAAGATTCAGCTGTACCATTTTCATAGGTAGACTAATAAAATATAAATGCCTAATCTCCACTTGCTAAATCTTTAATGCACAATTCTAATGAGGTATATATTCAACCACTGTAAATACCTGAAGTAAAAAAAAAGGTCTTTGACATTGCAAAGGATATTTTCATTCACTTCACTTATCCATTTAAAATGTTCATTTTACATATAAATATTTTCATGTTTTAAACTGTTTGACCCCATTGCATAAATGTAGCAACTGTGCAATGGTTTATCAGTAATAATTAAGCTGTTGCTTTTCTCTTGCTTGTAAAAAATGTCTGTTATGCTCTCTGTATTAAATACATGGCATTCTCTTTTGTAGTAACTAGTTTGTGCCTATTAAAATTATAGTATTTAGGGCTTTTTTTTCTCCATCATTGTTGTATTGTTCACTTGTTGTAGGCTTTTTTAGCACAGCACTGCCAAGATTAGATATTTTCATCAGGTCAGTCTGTTTTAAAAAAACAATACTATTGTGTTAATATTCTCACAACTTGTTCTTTCACTTCTGTGTCAGGGTGATGCAGCAAAGATGCCAGTCTCTGAGCAAAGGGGGCAGAGTCCCTGCAGAGTGTGAAGAAAATTGAGTCTTCACTGTGTTCCTCAATTGTGGTGCCTTCTTCATCCTTCATGTTCTTTTTCAAGTTTGCTGCAAACGCCAGGGCTCGAACCAGAACATCTCTGTTTACACAGTTGTCAAAAAGTAACACCAGTGATGGCACCTAGGATATTGAAGAAATAGTCCACACTTTATCACCAGCAGTAAGTACATGTAACTAAATCAAACTTAAGAAAATGGGAAAAAAATGAGCACCTCAACCATCTAAAGCAGAAATTGTATGAAATCCCAGTATGCTGTGAACTCCTGTCAGAAACCTGCACAGTGCACACATTTTCTCTCTGGAAAAGACTGGCCTGTGCATCAGTGGGCTAATAAATGCTTTGTATTTTCAATCTCCAAAATGTGGCTGTCTGGAAAATTTTCCCATGTGGAAGAGAGGGTCTGCTTTCCTTCTCAGCCACGCTGATTTTGCCCTGAATGTTTTTGTTAGCATATCTGATAAATGAAAAATGATGCACTTAACAGAGAATTGAATATTTAGCTACACTAACCTCATTTGAATAACGAAAAGACAGGATTATCTAGCTTTGCTCATGGCAGACAGCTCACAAATAAAAACCATTGCACATTTTAAGAAAGTTACTTTGGGGAGGAGGATGAGGATGCAGCACTCTTCCAGCCCCTGACTTTGTTTGTGAGGAACTGAAACTGAAACTGAAAGAAACCTGTGTGCCAAGGCAAACACAGCAAATGTCACACAAATTTGTCCACGAAGAAATTAAGTAAATGCACAGGTAAAGTTCACTTAGAGGTGCCAAGGCAAACACAGCAAATGTCACACAAATTTGTCCACGAAGAAATAAGTAAATGCACAGGGAAAGTTCACTTAGAGGCAACAGTTTTATGGCTGTATTTGAATAAAGTGGTGGGGATTCCAGTGGAATTTGGTTGGGTTTGGTCCAGTACATTGGCTATAGAAACAGCAGTTGAGAAGGATCACTTACAGTACCAGTTCTATTTGATAGTTTTCAATCTATATACTGACTGTGTCTGGAAGTGAAGTTTTGGGTTCATTTTACATAATACAAACTAAAGTTCATGGTATTATCCCTTTGGTGGAAAGGGAAGGTTAGAACAGGCTTCTGCAAGTTATCATTGATTATTTGGAATGGTACACAGGAAGTACAACCAACTGTCTCCAAGTGCTCTGTCCCTCTCCCTCTCTAAGTACAGTATCTGTATTACACTACCCTCTGGAATACAGCCCACCCATGAAAGAATGTGCACTTATCCACTGGTTTTAACAAAGCAGGTCTAGAATTTATTCTGGAATTGCATATTTATTTCTGATACATTAAAATTCTTCTAGTGCATGCAATATCTAAACTCTGGTGCACATGTATATATGCTAAAAATAAAATGAAGCAGCAAGAACCTTACCTGAGCTCTGAGAAGATGTCTTGTCATGGCTGGGTTTGCAGATAAGTTCACAAGTACTTTCAAAACTTGAATCTGAAGTGAGGAATGTTCAAGTTCATTAAAAGGTCCAAAACAGTAAGTAAAGCTGTAATGGGTATCAATAATGTCAAAGTTGACTTGGGGAGGAAAAGGCAAAATAGTTTAACCAATATCTTGAATATTTTGGTATAGGGAAAATCAAGATATAGACATGTTACAAGCAAATTCAGATTGACTTAAACATCAAAATAAGGCAAGACCCATAACGAATCCTAGGCCAAATGCAAAATATATTTGAAATACAAAGAAGATGGTTAAGTACTGCATTTAAAATTATCTGAACCATATACAAACACACCTTTGTGCTTTCTTGGATCTCGTGATGCTAGTCTTTAAACACTAGGAAAAGGCCATATTACTTCCTGTACTTAAGTACAACAGGTGTGTTATGTTTAGTGGAAATGTGTTTTTTTGGAAAACTCATTTTGATCTGATAGAGCAACCACATACATTGATGGTACCACAACATCTTGAATTAAAGCTGAGTTTGGTCCCTAACTGAAGCTCGTTTCAGTATTACAAGTCACAAATAAGCACGATTTCCACTTGCAGTCACTAAGGCTGCCAGAGGTGTCACAAGCATAATGGAACTCAAGTCCCTAACTTAGGATCACTGCTTGGCATGTTTCCCTACAGAGGTTCATGCATCAGTGAAGCCTTTCCCATGCAGGTTCTCCTTGCTCTGTGATGCAGTAGCAATGTTTAATGCAGAAGGGAATTCTGGAGTTGCTATGGTAAAGGCACAGGGCAATCACAGTGCACCCTGCACTGCTTTGGGAGAGCTGCAGCCTGATGGTTCCACTACCAAGATTCCCTTCCCTCCCCCATTTCTGAATTTATATTGTGAAACTAATACAGATCCATATTTTAGTGCACAAAATCTGTTATCATTAATGAATATTTGGTTTTTCTTAGCACAGTCTAAAACATTTTACCAAAACATTAAGAAAAAAGGCAAGCAAAGAAGCTTAATAAATGGCTTGTAAAAATAACACTACCCAGTACCTGTGTCCTTTCAGTTCCTTCTGAAAGCAAATGAAGAAAGCATGGAATTGAGTTTATCATCTTTTGGTGGTAGTCACTGGTAACAGACATGTTTGTCAACAGCCTGAGTCCAGCTAGCTGCACATCAGAGTTCAGGGGAGCTGACTCAACAGTCCTACAAACTTGTGTAATAAATACCTGGGGAAAGGAGGGAGGAAATAAAGAGAGAACAGTTTTTAATAAAAACATTTTTACTGTCACAAATAGCATCAATGGCCTAGCTACAGTAACATAAATATTTCCTGACCATTGCTGGCTGAATGGTGAAGGTTCTCGGAAACAAGTAGGTTTTTGTTTTGAATATTTCAGACATTCCAGTGGCATGACAGAAGCAGACCATACAGCATTATGCTCACTAATCTTCCTGAAACATAACTTGCCCTGAAAACTTAAATTGCTTTGCCTCCATCTGAGCTGCTTTAAGGAGTTGTTTAAAAAATCACTTGGAAGTAACTAACATCTTAAATATTGAGAAGAAGCTAAGGACAAGCTTTGAAATTAAATCCTTTCTCCCAAGCACGTGGCGCAGTTACTGGAGCGCACTGTAGGAACAGCAATGACAACTGACATTTACTATTTTTACCAATTTTTCTTCTGGATGAGAGTATACAATGAATCTTGGGAGTTCTAACTGAGGAAAAAAAATAATTTACCCTTACCGAAGGAGTTATTTTCTACTTATACACCTAGACAAATATTGACAAGCACTACTTAATAAAAACTGCCTATTGCTAAAGATGCTGCAAACTACCACATGCAGTCACACTACCTTTTCATCAAGCTACTGAAACAAACTAGTAAAAGTCTTCAAATCTGTCTGAGCTTACCACTTGGACACTTCTTGGTCTATTGATTAATGAGATAGATTTCCTTTTTCTTCATCTTTAGTCCTTTCATATCCATAGCATGTACTGTATTTACCAGTGGAAGTTGTTATAATTTATACACTTTTCTTTAAGATGAAAAATTAGTCTTGTACAAACCCAGGGGCTCAGTTACCCTTTCCTTCTCCCTCACCTAAAGAGTCCTGGCAAGTTCAATCTGCAATCCATTCTGTTAAACAGACACTGGTGATGTTCTAGGCATGTTTGGAAATCACCTTACCTCACATAATTTTGCTACAATCTTAGCAGCACAATCTCTCTTTAATAGTATTTTGTGAAAGCTGAACACAAACTGCATAGGTTCCTGTCTTTTATTTTAAAAGTAAATGCCAGTGAAGCAATGCATTTCTAAATTATCCTTGCAGTCATCCAGATGTGCTGCCTTGTATGTCTATCATCAAAGCATTCTGGCATCCTGGCTTGTATTTAACAAATATGCTGAAGGACCTGTACTATCTCTTTGCCTTGAATACTTTGGTTTTTCCCAGTAAGAATCTTACCTGTATCTCTTCCTGATTTTTAATATTCATACTCAAATTATTAAGTGCATTGAGTGCTTTTTCTTTAACTTTAGGAGCGCAGTTGGAGAGCATCCCTGCAATAACAGAAAGACCATCCAAATTTCGGATTATATCCTGAAATATAGAAGATATTAAATGGGATTTTAAAAAATTCAATTTAAATGCTGAAGCATTCCCTCAAAGTCTCCATATTGACAAAAATGAAGTATGTGAATGAAGAATTCCAGAAATGACTTCTTTGTTTAAACAGTGTTAGCAGACACTGATTTATTGCTTTACTGAAACTAAGAAGGGTCCTGCTTAGGAACAAAACTATTAGTTGCTGATATTTGACAATAGCACATCACCTTTGCTTTGAAAATCTGGTCTGCAAAGCATGCTTAAAGCATTTTACATTATAAAGAACAAAAGGAAATTACTTGATAATGAGTTAATAGAACAACTGAGCCAGATTGCAGTACCTAAAAGTCCTGCCTGAACAGGACATAATATCAAGATGTAGCTTCATATTATTAGAGGTTCTGAAACTTTTTCCATTACACTTGTTTTTATTACTGTTTTAATCTTTCTCACTTAGACTGTAACTGTCTTTTAAAAAAAAAATACTGCTCCTAAAAAAAAATTAAATGGACCAATGAGCTTTATGCTCCAGTTGCATTCTAAGAGATTTGTATTAAGAAAGCCATTTTAAGAAGCCAGAATAGATGGCAGTCATAAGTAACAAAAAGGGTGGGACCTTGGAGGTTAAACTGTTAAAAAAGGCATGAAAATTGGCATCCAGCTCAAAGTTTTTCTGCATTCTATGTCCAAATAATTTGAAGATGGCTCAATAGTTGTAAAATTGCTAATGCGCAAACAGCACACAACTTTGTGAGTGGCAAAAAATATAGTTTATCTCACTAAACTTTAGATCTGAACCAGAAAGTATTTAACCTAGTATTCAACCCTTTCATTAACACTGCATAATTGTAAGCAACAAAAGATATATTTACAACACTTTTGAAGTACAGGACTCTGCATGGACTTTCAGTGCTCCAAACATTATAATTCAATAAACTCTGTGAAGATGGCGAATTTTATTATTTCAGCCAGCAGAAATTAAGGCAAGACATTAAATGGATTTTAGAGCACAAGCTGTCCTAGCTTTCAGTCCTGTGTCACTCTTTAGCAAAACAGCAGCTCTCCTCTGCCAGACTGGCTGGCATTGGACACTGTTGTTTTCTACAGAACAATACTCACTTGATTTACAGAGAAGGCAGCACTGTTGCTGAGAGTGATTAAAGCTTGCTCTTGAATTAATGGATCATCTGTGTCCTGGAGCAAATGAATAAGTTTCTGTAGAGCATCCGCATCCATGGTATGGGTTGACGCTGGAGGACTGCTGTCTGTCAGCATTTAGAAATGAAATACTTGATAGTAAGTTTGAGACATTTCACTTAGTTGCTGTTTAATGTTTTTTACAAAGTTGAAATTTGGCTCTCAGTTTTAGGACATATTGTTCTAATGTTGTGCCCAATCATCATGTCATGGTAAAAAGACTGTTTTATGACACTAAGATTTCCATCCTTTTCCTGAGTCCTCTAATTACCTCTTCTGAAGGTGGAGAATAAAAGGAACACACAATTAGAGGCTGAGGTGCATTACTTCCTGGTTAACCAATAGCAAATTTACTCTGCAAAATTATTAGGAATATTCACCAAACATGGTTTGGGGATTTTCTTGTATCCCCGAAATGAAATGTGGAAATCTGTCTGGGCACTGTAGGAAACACAACTTCCAGTTTACAGACTACTACTTCCAGGAATTATAATAATGACACTTTGCTGGTACACTGAGGTCCTTTGACAAAGTAACAGCCATCATGTTAGGAACTCTGCTGATCATGCATCACTCAAAACAAGGAGGAAGGCTGCTTCTGAGTCAGGATGATGTTATGGAGTACCTGACCTTTATAAAAGGGCAAGAAATGTTATCAAAGGCCATTTCAGCCAGGTTGGAGGCAGAACTATTTAGCCAGCTGAAGAGCCCTGAAACCTGATCTGTGACTGCTGGACTAGTCATAGCTTACTCAGAGGACTTCTGAGAAGCTAACAGTGCTTTAAATTCCACAGCTTTACATCCAACATTTGATCAGGGAAACACCATAGAATTGTTTCGAGGTTAAAAAAAAAAAGAGAGAGTTAATGATGATGATTCAAGAGCTCACTTCAAAAACAAAATCTCTTTTCATCTTCATCTAAACACATTCTGCTTAGCTTTGAATTATAGGGGGAACACAAATAACTGCAATAACATAAGTAAACACACTGATCAGACATACGCTTTGAGGGACTAATAAAATAAATAAATAAATAAATAGGCTTTTCTAAAAATAAACCACACTCCAGAGTGCCCCAGATTGCCACAAGGCTATGGCGGGCCGGGACTCAGGACTGCGGCACCGCCTCTGTCAGGGCGCAGAGCCACCTCCGG